AAGAGACAGATATATCTATATCTATACCATCTATAGAAGCAAAGTGTTTGTTGTATACTAGTGAAAACTAAGTTGTTTAAACTAGGTTGTGACAAGTTTAGGATTTTGTCTTTAATGTTCAAGGTAACTACTAAGAAAATAACTAAAGCATCTATTGAAAAAGAAAGAAGAGGGGGCCAGATGGTGGTATATTAGTAAAACATGATGCTCTGAGATACAGACCCACATGGGAGGGTTGCTGATTCACACCTGGATACCTCTGTGAGTATGCCAGGAGTGTGCCATGATCTGAGCTGGCTGAGGCAGAGGGTGGAGGACTGTCGAGACCCTATCAGGGAGTGTTGTATTTCTGCCTCTCTCTGTGTCTCTGTCTCTCTCACTCATGGAATAAATGAAAAAGCAAACTTAAAAAAATAAGAAAAAGAGAACCAGAAGGGTACACTATAAAACATCAACTACACATTTTTTAAAAGGGCAGTAATAGAGGAATTCAGGGGCAGAAATCATGAGACATATAGAAAACAAATAGTTAAGTGGCAAAAGTAAGTTCTTCCTTATCAGAAGTTACTTTAAATGTAAATTGGTTAAACGCTTCAATTAAAAGACAGAGATGGTCATAATGGACTTTTGGATTTTTTTTTTTTTTTGAGAGGTTTTTGCTATAGGGTGCATGCGCTCACCAGAAAGACAAAGAGAGACAGAGAGATAGAGAGCGAGAAATCACCTCCAGGGGAAATGGCCATGCCGCAATCCCTTCTCCTCCATTCTCCTCTCGGGATCTTGGGCACGCACCCCATGTGAGTTTAAGCCACTGGGCCCGGGACTCAAACCGCGGTCAACTATATGGGAGTTCAGCGACATAGCCATTACGCTAACTGCTGGTCCCTTATAATGAACTTTTAAAAGTATAATCCATCTATAGATACAAAGACACAAAGTGATTGAAAAGCAAAAGGATAGAAAGATATTCCAAAACATGTTGAACATTACCATACAACACTGCTGTGGAATGAACTGTGTCCCTCTCTAAATTCATACGTTGAAGCCTTAACTCCCAATGTGGCCATGTTTGGAGAAAGGAACTTTAGGAGGTAATAAAGGTTAAATGAGCCCATAATGGTGGTGCTCTAATCTGATAGTATTAACATCCTTATAAGAGACATTAAGAGAGGCTGGCAGGTGGTATAATGGTTAAGGCACTGGATTCCCACATGGCCAGCCAAGGTCTAAGTCTTGGACCTGGCGGCTTACTTTCTCACTTTCTCTCTCTCTCTGGTCAAATTAAAATAATAATAATAATAATAATAATAAATAATCTGATAATATTAGCGTCCTTATAAGAGACATTAAGAGAGACTGGCAGGTGGTATAGTGGTTAAGGCACTGGATTCCCACATGGCCAGCCAAGGTCTAAGTCTTGGACCTGGCGGCTTACTTTCTCACTTTCTCTCTCTCTCTCTGGTCAAATTAAAATAATAATAATAATAAATAAATAAATAAAAGAAAATGAATAATTATTTTTTTAAAATAAGAAAAGACAATAAAAATTAAAAAAAAAAAAAGACAGCTTGCTTGCTTTCTCCCTCCTACACTGTGTGAAGGCAAGTAAAAGTGGCTGTCAGCAAGCCAGGAAGACAGCCCTTACCATAAATCAGCTCCACCAGACCTTGATCAGTGACTTCTAGCCTCCAGACTGTGAGAAAAGAATTACTGTTGTTCGAAGCACCCAGTTTAGACTATTTTGCTGTGATAACCCAAGTAATATGAGCACCAAGATATTTACAGCGGAAATTTCTCAATCAGCTGTTCTTGCAGTGAATACAATTTTCTCTTTTGATTGAAATCCTACCCGCCCTTCAAACTCAAATGCCATCTCCTCCAGGAGACCTTCCCTAATTGGTGGACCAGAACTAGTTTTTGTGTTTGCTGGATTTCTACAGCATTTTGCCTCGAAGATCCTTCCCTTGGGTCATATAATGAAGTTTATCAAGGCTCAGACCTGTGTCTTTTTGTTGTGTATGTTCTCTTCAAATCAATGGCTCATACCTTTCTAGCTCCAGTTCAGACTTTTCCACTGACTCCAGAATGCAGAGCTGACTCAGCACCTCCATCTGGGTAGTGAAAACACATGAAGCTTAATATGTCCAACACGGAATTCCTCCAAATCATGGTCCAGCGAAGAACACCTCCCTCCATCAACACTGGTTCCAGCCAGATAATGCCTGGGTCCAAATGGCTCCTTCTTGTCTGTACCTCCTCCCTGTTTCCACTCTTGGGCCCTCTGACCTCTCTCCCTGGAGCAGCCACTTTTTCATCTCCCTGGCTAAAACGTTCAGGTAAATGACCTACAGGGTCCAGTCCCTGTCTACCTCTGCAGCCTTGTCCTCCATGGTTCATTTATTCATCCCTCTGGCCTGTGCTGGGACTGGTCCCCCTGCCTGGAACACACCTCTGACCTGGTTAGTTTCTCCTAATTCTGTAAAGCTCAATTCAAATATAATTTTCTCGAACAAGACTTTCCAGACCTTCCTCTCTCCCCTCTAGTGGTGTCTAGTCACAGGTACCACTGGGGTGACATTCCCATGGCACCTTCAATCCTGGCACAGCTGTCAGTGTCAACAGTGAGAGAAGATCACTTCGAGGGCATACATCATTGTTCACAACCGTGTCCTCAGTACCTGGACGTGCCAACACCTAGAGGCACTCGGTAAAGGTTTGTTGCCTGCATAAGTGATCAAGAGAAAGAATCTCAGCACTGCACTTTCCAGCCTTTTGACTTGGGAAAGTCACTTGAGTATTTCTTTTTTTTTTTTTTTTTTAAATTATTTATTT